ACGGTGGCTTGAGCTGTTGAAAGACACTATGATATGCAGATTCAATATCACCCCGGGAAAGCTAACAGTGTAGCCGACGCTTTAAGCAGGACGTCAGATGGGAATTTGGCATGTTTAACCGTGATGACAGCGGAGCCGACTATTGTTGATGAGGTAAAGATAAGAAAGATGGAGGATAACTTCCTCAAGAAAATAGCCGAGAGATTGACACAAGGCCGAGACCAGGGTATACCATCGAGAACAGTGCTCAATTTGAAGGAAGGTTATGTGTGGCGCGACATCCCAGAGTTAAAGAGGAAAATTTTGCAGGAAGCTCACGGTTCTAAGTATGCTGTCCATCCAGGGAAACCAAATGTATCAAGATGTGAAGCAGACCTTCTGGTGGCAAATATGAAGAGAGAAATAGCCGAATTCGTGTCCCAGTGTTTACATTGCCAGCAAGTGAAAAGCAGAACATCAAAGACCAGCAGGACTTCTTCAACCTTTGCCGATTCCTGAGTGGAAATGGGAGCACATCTCCATGGATTTTGTGATTGGTTTGCCGAAAACACCTAAGGTATGGATTCAATTTGGGTTGTTGTTGATAGGTTAACTAAGTCAGCACACTTTCTACCCGTTAAGACTACTTTCAATGCCAATCAACTTGCCTTGCTATATGTGAACGAAATTGTCAGACTTCATGGAGTGCCAATGTCAATTGTTTCAGACAGATCCTAAATTGTTTCTAGATTCTGGCAGAGTTTACAGAGGGCTTTGGAGCCGAGCTGAGATTCAGTACAGCCTTTCATCCCCAGACAGATGGGCAGACAGAGAGAACCATTCAGACGCTTGAAGATATGCTTAGACTTTGTGTGTTGGACTTCCAAGGAAGTTGGGGAACACATTTACCCTTAGTGGAATTCGCTTACAACAACTTTATCAGGCTAGCATTGGCATGGCGCCGTATGAAGCCCTGTATGGAAGAAAATGTAGATCGCCGATATGTTGGACCGAAGTCGGAGACAGAACTCTGCTTGGTCCCGAATTGATTCAAGTGACAACAGAAAAGATTAAACTTATCCAACAGAGGATTAAAACTGCCCAGAGCCGACAAAAGAGCTACGCCGATCAGAGAAGGAATAAGATTGAGTTCGGTTGGAATCATGTATTCCTGAAGGTCTCACCAATGAAAGGGTTTTCCAGATTTGGAAGGAAAGGTAAGTTAGCACCTCGCTATATTGGGCCATTTGAAATCCTTGAGAGAATTAATCCCGTTGCTACAACTTGCTTTGCACCAGATTTGAGCCAAGTCCATAATGTGTTTCATGTTCGATGTTGAGGAAGTACATCCGAGATCCACTGCATGTAATTGATCATTCTGGGATCATAGTTAATGAGGATTTGGGCTACGAGGAGAAGCCATGAGGATTATTGATCGACAAGTGAGGCAATTGAGGAACAGATCGATACCGATGGTAAAGGTCGAATGGAAGGAGCATTATGGCACAGGAGCCACGTGGAAAAGAAGAGGATGTGAGAATCCGTTATCCAGAGTTGTTCGTAGAACAAGGTATCTAAGTTTGGGACCAAATTCCTTAGGGGGGTAGGATGTAACAACCCTCACCTTATTCTTGTCATACTTGCATACATCCTTGCATAGTCTTGCTTGTTATTGTTAATTTGAAGATTTTGTCTTGCCTTGATTTGCTTTAAGTTGTTGCATGATTTTGATCCTTGCTTGGTGTGTGTGTGTGTAGCCGAGGTCATCTTGAGCTTAGTTCGCCTTTGAACTTGTACTTAGATTTGTTTCGAGATCTTGTTCAACCCATCTTCACCTCGGGCATTATTGCCGAGATGTTTTGCACTTGAACCTTGTCTGCAGGCAGGTATGGCCTAGGCCGAGATGTGGCACCCCGGCCAAGGTGTGGCACAGCTTAGTCAAGTGTCGTCCTCCTAGCCATGTTTTTCTATCCTGTTGCTGGATCCTTGATTTGAGCCGATGTCATCTTGTTGCGATGTGTCTTACCCGAGCTTGCTGCATACACTTTGTCAGAGACTTGTCTTTTCCATCAATCACCTTTTTGGAGCTGAACCAACCCGATAACGCCACGTGTCCGAGCTGACTGATAAGGCAGCCGGCAGACCTAGAAACAAATCATTTTGTCTCAAATCTTTGTTTTAGGAGAGAAGCTCTAGAGAGGGGAAGAGAGTTCTTGAGTGAGAGTAGTCTTCCAAGCTTGATCTTCGTGGCTTGAACCGTTAGATTCGAGTTTTGAGGTTAGATTCTTGATCTACTTTAAATGTTGTTATGGATTATCTAGCTGCATTGCATGATCGGATTTGTGTTGCATGTCATGCATTGTTTTGAAGTTGGTTTTGGTAAGAGAAAATGGTTTTCCATGTGTTCTTGAAGAAAACCTCGTTTTGATCCGAAAGTTGGAACGAAAATCATGTTTTGCGTTTGTTCTTGTATAACTTTCTTTAATGGGTACCCAGGTCCCTATTTTGAACCTTTGGCATGAAAACTCAGATTTTTGTAACAAGATTGTGAGCTTGCATCCATCTTTAAATGATCACGTTCTTCATATTCTCCAAAGGAGGACCCAAGTTTTCTGACTTTGTTTAACGGGACCTCGGCTTAGTCCTGGACGGACCCAGTGTGTTTTCGGAAACGGGAGCAGTGATTAAGCTTCCAGATTGTTTTGCTTTGTCCTTGGCTTAGATCTGGCAAGAATGCCGAGATCATTTGCATGTATATAGACCTTGCTTTGAGAATGTGACTTGCCATGTGATTGTAGGTCCTTGATATTTGCTTTGAGTCTGCACCTGAAGAACTAGGTGAGTGGTATTTCTAATAAAGCTATGTTACACTTGCTTTTGATAAATCTTATTTTGTTTGTTTTGATGTGGTATTCGCTAAGCATGAATAATAGCCTTGTTTGATTGTTATCCTCGGAAAGTCCCTTGTGCTGGAGGACTCTAACTTTCGCAGTACTATGTGTAAAAGGATACGGTCCTTGTTAAATCGGGCTACGGCCTAAGTAACACAAGTCCTTGTACTGGAGGACTCTAAACTTTCGCGGTACCAAGTGCACAAGTCCCTGGTATTGGAGGACTCTAAACTTTCGCAATACTTTTGACCAAACGATTACGGATCGTACAGTACTTGAATGATGAATACGGTTCATCCCTTGCTTCGCCGATGTTATGATACTTGAATGATGAATACGGTTCATCCCTTGTTTTGCCTATGTCAGTAAACATCTTTGGATACTTGAATGATGAATACGGTTCATCCTTGTTTTGCCTATGTCAGTAAACATCTTGGATACTTGTAATACTTGATTGATGAATACGGTTCATCCCTCGTCTTGCTATTGTTGATGAGTTTGTTTTGAAGGACCTCGGCTATATTCATGTAAAACCTTTATTATTAGTACCATTCACTGAGTTTTGTACTCACCCTCTATATATATGTAGGTGTTGAGCAGGACGGCGGCGACGCCTAGATCGTTTGGATGCTTGTTTTGGATCCGTGCTTATGTCGGCTTTACTTTTGTATTTACGTCGGCGATGCCCTGCTTTGCATGTCGGCAAATCTTGAAAATCATGCTTCTTGACTTGTATTAGCTGTATTTTGTATATGTCGGCTCGAGAAGCCTTTTGATCAAGATGTAACATGTATTTTGACTTGTTGTATTTAAGTTGTAAAGCTCTGTAAAGATGTATGCCATTCCATTTGACTTATGCACTGCTCTTATGGACCACTTGTATTTTAGATTATTGCTTCCGCACTTGTGAGCCCCTATATCTATACTCTGATTGTGTGTGAATTTTGAAAGTTGGCCTTCGGTAATTACGGATTACTGGCCATCACGACACCCAACCTACTAGGGGCGGTTTGGGGTCGTGACACTTTCTTTTTTAATTTTATGCAACTTTCACTTTTCTTTTTATTCAACTTCCATTTTTATTCAATTTACTTATAGCGATCCCAGTATTCCCTGTTATTGTTTAACTGTAATCCGGACTCGGTTTCGTAGATTCGTTGTTGTCTTATCCTCATTTCTATCCCTTACTCTTGGTCTTAGAGTTTTGGGTTGTGTTGGACTTGTTGGGAGTATGTTGGTTATGTTTTAGAACTTAGAATCTTTGCCCAGTTTTTGGCCTCTCCGCTCGAGCGGGGGTTTCGGCGCTCGAGCGGGAAAATCACCTTCCTAGTACTTTCTCTGTAGTGTTGGACGCTCGAGCGTGAGGTTTGACGCCCGAGCGGGAGTTTGTGTGTGACGCTCGAGCGGGGAGTTGGACGCTTGAGCGAGGACCTGTTCTGCATAACTTCTGGATGGTTGTATCCGCCGCTCGAGCGGGGGTTTTTGGCGCTCGAGCGGGAGTCTGTGAGTGACGCTCGAGCGGGGCGACTTTTATATAAAGCCGAGATCCGACCTTTTTGTTCACTTTTTGATTTCCTTTCTCTCTCTTACTTTTTCAAAACCTCCATTGGAGAGCACCTCACTCTAAAACCTAATTTCTCTCTTAGGATTGATCTAGCTAGAGTGTTTTCCTCACCTTAGGCCTTTGTAAGAAGTGGGTTGATCGTCGAGGGCTTCGTTGTGAACCAAGAAATTTGGGATTTGGAGCACTTTGATTTCGAGTCATCTTCTCCTTTTGAGTTCTCCATTTGAGGTAGGGATTCTCCTTGTTCTTTTTCAATACTCCGTCTATAGATAGACATGTGGAAATTTTTGTATTGCATGAAAATTGTATCATGTTGGACTTGTTTGAAAATCATGAGATAAACCTAGGGTTGGTTGTGTGGAGAATGGTTTTGGCTTCATTGATTGTTGTCTTGGCTAATATAAATATAAATTAGCATGTTGTAGTTAAATGAGGAAAAGCCCTAAATTATATTTTGGTTGGGTAAATTATAATGAGGGTTTGTTGACCATTGTGTGTAAATCTCTTTTGTCAAAATGAGTGTGGTAAGGGTGTTAATACCTAAAGGATTAACCATGGCTTTGGAGTTGATTTTATGGAAACAAGATTAGTGGAGTTGGTTTTATGATAACAATAAGGAAATGGAATCGTTTTTGTGAAAATGAGGGAAGTGTTTTCGAAATAAGTTTGAGAATTGGATTGTGGTATCTTGAGTGTTGAACACCCTTGTAGAAGTTGTATATTTAACTGTCATGTTAATATTGTTGTTGGGTTTATGATTCATGATATTTGAGTCTTTTAATAGATGTACTAACTATATGCATCTAGAGGCTTTGTCCTTGGTCATCGGTGGAGGATGACACGGTTGTGTAGAACTGTCGGGTTTGCATTTTGCCATTGATTAATTGAACATCGTATGTGATGAAGTGCTAGATACATTATATATATGTATAGTTGCTCGGAAGGAGATAGTCATGTGTTCATATATTTTAACACATTGCTGGTGTCTTGATAGTTTATGTATATGCATTATACATGTTGGTTATGCCTTGATGTGCTGTGATTGTTGGTGTTATACCCCGCGCTTATAATCAAAGGTACCGTTACCTTCCAGTTAGCGCCTGGAGAACTGTCTGCGCTAATAATCGAAGGTACCATACCCCTCCAGCTAGCGCCTGGTAAACTGGCTTGTTGTTGATGTTGTTGAGTGGGGTGTATTGTTGGCTTACTACGCACATAGCTAGTAGAGCGATAATGGGATTGTTGTTGTTTCGTTGTAACTGAAAATATCATGGATTTGATTGGTTACAGTTCGGAGGACCGAGTTACTCCATTGGTTGATTGTATACATGTTGGTGGGTTGTAAATTTATATTTTTACAAAGATATGCATGTATAGTTATGATAGAAATGGAAACGA